TTAAGCCAATCTGCTCTCTCTGATTTGCTGAGCTTTCGCAAGGTGCTCTGAGGTTAGACCTAGCAGCTCAGTTCTTGCAAAGCCTGATTCCCGCTTCTCTTCGGCGGCATAGTGACCAAACACTTGGTAGCACCCGAGATTGAAGAGACCAAGAGGAAAACAAAATACAAGGAGGTGAGGAAGATTCAGGAAGTGAAGTGGAAGCAGTTTCTGCCCATACACAGACACCTCTCCCAGGCCAGTTTTCACCAGCACATCTGGATGGCTGCAAATCTATATATTACTGCAGTATTAGATGGCATCTGGAAAATGTACTCTTTACATTAAGAGGCGAAGAGAAGGTATGTTCCGAGTTGGAAACATTTGCAGACTTTCATCCAAAGCCGAGTTATTGTCAGCCCACAGGAATGTAAAATTCTTTATTAACAAAGGGAAATAAACCACATCGTTTTAGAAAACAGACATCTGTGATCCAGGCTGTCAGCAAGCAGTTCCCAAATTAATTCCGATACACTAAGAGACATTGAGGATACAGGAATCAAATTCAGAGGCTAAGTCCATGCATCTGTCCCACTCACTGGCTTCCACAACACACCTCTGGAGCAACCTAGATCTCAAGCCTGCTCAAAGATGCTTCAGAGCTGGAACCCAGTTCCAGGCATATTCACTCAGAAGTCTCCCAGCATTCAGTGGGGCCTGTTCCAAGGAAAGCACACCCAGGATAATAGCAAACCAACAATAAACTATTAAATGGGCTTGCATTACTTGGGAGGGGGTGGTATTCTAACCTGTGCCAATCATATCACAATAATTATGGGTCTTTTAAAAAGTAACCACAGCAAATGCTCTTAAAGCATGCTGTTTCTGGGAAATTTAATTTGGCAATTTAACTCCCAGGATATCAAAAAACCCTGGCCTTTGCATCACCTTTGTGCCTTCCAGATGTTTTCGACTACAACTTCTATCAGCTCTAGCTCAATAGTCAGGGATGATGGGAGTTGTAGCCTAGCGACATCTGAAGGTCGCCAGATTGGAAAAAATATGCTTTAAACCTTGATGATTATCTTTTCTCTCTGCCCCCATCACCTTCCAAAATCTGAAATGCTGCCCTGTGATCAAACCCCACTTTTAAAAGATGCTCATTGGCACCAGTAGGGCAGAATGCAGGTGGTCGCAACTGGGCATGCACCAGTTGCAAAACACGCCAGAGGAATTTTGAGCACTGCACAGAAGGACCCAGAGGGTCCCGCTTTGCGGATGCAACACTCAAGTGGGTCTGTAGGGGAAGAAGGTCACCTTTCAGAGACCTATGCAAAATGAGTAATAAAAAATAGGTCAAGATGTTTTACAAGTTTAAAGAACTATTCAGATATTGTTTTATCCATGGGTGAATTTATGCAAATTTAGTTAATCAACCAACCAAAATTCATACAATCAGCCAGCTAAGGTTTCTTTAATTGGGTCACTAGTAAACAGGAGCAGCTGATGTACAGAACACAGGACGAAATATATACAGTAGTCTACTAGTAGCCTCATCCCTGGTATTGCTTGGAGTAGTTACAATCAGTGCAATTTCGAAAGGTTCCGTCCACCATCTTGATTCAAAGTGATGTTCAGTTGTATCCAAACACAGGCAAAAACCTGCTCCTGGATCTCAGGAATCATCACACAAATTTTGATTATATTTTAAGAGATGTCCGAATGCATAGCTAACAGGCAGCTGTCCAAATACATAGCAGATTTACGGTGCAATCCTATACATGCCTGCTTAGAAGCTAAGCCCTGTTGAATTCAACTGTGTACAGGATTGCAGAGCCTGAATAATTCTATTCCAGGAGGAAAATTGTATTTCGTTTTGTATTCATTTCCCACCTTCATATTTAAACTTTATTCCACGTTTTGGAATTGCATCTGCATCTAATTAAATATATTCTGTTAAGGTGTTGCACAAAAGAATGGAACATAAAATCACTTCTGTGTGGTAGAATCAAGGTACCAGTAATATCTTTCAGATGCCTGCAACTAAGCCTATCAAATTGCTCTAAAATCTTTTATCTGCCCAAGTGAGAGAGGTGCTGTGAGAAAGATGAGAGGGTCAAAGTTAATAAACTGATCTTGGAAAACCTGTGGTCTGCCCAATTCTACAAAGAACAGCAACAAGGAAAAGGACATCGGCGACATCACCAGCCAATAAACCAATCCATGGTCTCTGCCACCTTCCTTATTTGCAAGTTTCAAAATTCCAAGCAGATTTCAAGCATTTCCATCCTTGGATGGGCATGTCATCAACAGCTATCAATGAAATAAAATCCTGTCACAACAGTTAACAATGAAAACTCCCAGGCAACATCCAAACCATCAAAATGACTTTGACAGAAGAAGGAAGAGTCTTCTCAGAAACAAGGTGTCATCCTTCCCCTAGAAAAGCACTTTCTGCATTTATTTCCGTGTGCTGGGAACTGTCTGTGCCATTTTACCTGGCAGACAATGTGGGCAGCGATGCTTCTGCATCAATTCTCAGGTGGGGAGCAATACTCCAACTGGCCAAGAGTGAGTCAGACAATGAGAACCAAATCTTTTCAATCATAACAGTGCGGCTCGGAAACTCGGAAACAATCTGACAGTTCAGTCACTTCCAACTTCAGCCCAAGAACCCAATGGAACCTAGTAGACCACCAGTGGATCCCACACAGCAAACTTTCTGCTACCTTTTTTGTCGAATTGGAGCATTTGAGAGACACTAGTGGATGCTTTTACCTGCACAAAGGTAGCCAATTTCCCATGCCACTCAAGCAATAGCATTTATGTGACAAAGTAGAGACAGATTTCAGAAATGGAGCTGCATTGGTGTGTATCAAAATTGAAGAAACTAATAAACTAATAAACCAGCCATAACTAGGTCCAGTTTATTACAACTGATAGCCCACCATTCAGGATACAGAACCTCTCGTTTTTCTTTTTTAACCAAGCACTGGCATTACATAGTAAGAGTAAAATCAGTTCATCTTACCTCCCACAAGAACTATGTAGCCTTAAACAAGCCATTCTTTCTCTGCCTCAGTTATCCCCTCTGCAAGGTGGAGATAATACCATAGGCATACCTGACAGGGGTGTCACGTGGATTACAATAATACATTATTGGCAGCATCAGAACACTCCAGTTCAATGCAAACACTTATTACTATTACTATATTTAATTTTTAATTCTTTTAATTGCTTTTTTTTAAACTGCTGCACTCTTCAAAGGTGTTTGCTTTGCTTTTTTTATACATGGATGCTTATTTCAATGTTTCAGCCGAATTGTTTTATTGTGCATTCTTATTTACACGCCATTATATTATTTTGTAATTGGTTTTATACTTGGAAGGGACGCGGGTGGTGCTGTGGGTAAAAGCCTCCGCGCCTAGGGCTTGCCAATCGAAAGGTCGGCGGTTCGAATCCCCGCGGCGGGGTGCGCTCCCGTTGCTTGGTCCCAGTGCCTGCCAACCTAGCAATTCGAAAGCACCCCCGGGTGCAAGTAGATAAATAGGGACCGCTCTGGCGGGAAGGTAAACGGTGTTTCCGTGTGCTGCGCTGGCTTGCCAGATGCAGCTTTGTCACGCTGGCCACGTGACCCGGAAGTGTCTCCGGACAGCGCTGGCCCCTGGCCTCTTAAGTGAGATGGGCGCACAACCCCAGAGACTGTCAAGACTGGCCCGTACGGGCAGGGGTACCTTTACCTTTATACTTGTAAGTTGATTAAAAGGTGTGTTTGGCAATTAAGCAGTATATATATTCATTCATGAGAATACTGCGGATTATTACTACTATGATGCTGAACTTGGAAGAAATTTGAGAGAGAAAGTGAAACAAATGTGCAACTATTGTGGAATGGAGATGGGAAAGTAGATTATTTGGGAGAGGGGCTGTGAGAAGAGGAGAGAGAAATAGCAGAAATACAATTCCAGGACCAGTTCCTCCTAAATAATGAGCGTTGGGGAAAGAGAGGAGGTCCCAAACCGCTCCAAAGCAGCCTTCCAGCGCCTCATTATGCAAACAAGAAGTAAACTTTGAAAGGTAGGTGTCCAAAGAACAACAAATCAACTCCCAACTCTTCCTTGATTCCCATCTCACATCAGCCATGCTTGCCAGCTTCCCTCTCTCTCTGCCCCCTCCCAAAGCAAAGCTCATTTTGCTTAAAAACACACCCATACACACCCCTTTTTGCCCCTTTACACCGGGCTAGACGCTCTTATCTGCGCCCTCCAAACCACACGCCCCTCGCAGTTGAAATAAGGGGGTGGCGGCAAAAGGAGGTGGGGGACATGACCGGCTGGAGGAGAAGGAAGAAGCGCAGGGACACCAGCCAACCCACCCGCCTCCAATCCGCCAGGTCCTTCTAGGAGCGAGGAACCGAAAGCAGAGCCGAGAACGCGCCTCGTTAGAGGAGAGGGCCCTCCGACGGCGCAAAGGGAGAGGGAGGCGAGAGGCACCGCGGGCTCCAAAACAGGCCGCTATGGAGAGGAGACGCGGGGTAGGTGGGTGGGCTGGAAAGTCAGCTGCTACAGCTTTCGGAAACCCGGGTAGGAACGGCGGCCGCGTTTCGGGGGTGGGGTTCCCAACCCCCTTTATTTCCCTTTTCCCGCGGGGAGGGTCTCTAAGCGAACGCTCGGCGCGCGCAAAAAGGGAAGCGGCGGAAAGTAGCCACAATTCCGTCCCCGGCGTTCCAAAAGGCTCCTCGGCGTTCCAAAGGGGCCCCTCCCCCGCCCCGCTCCCCACCCCCAACGTTCCAAAGCTTACCCGCGCCACTCGAGGAGGGCTCGGAGGGGAGACGCGCGACACCGCTGGGCTGCCGGGGGAAGAAGCAGGATAGGGCTAGCCGAAGATATGGGTAGCGAGAGCGCGCTGGGTGTTGCAAGGATCCTCCTGCCGCCGCCGCCGCCGCCGCCGCCGACCCCTCCCCTGTAGGAGAAGAGCTACGCCCGCTTCTCCCTCCCCGCTCGCTCCCCCGGTCTACCTACGTTAGTTCCCTCGCAGTTGTTCCTCCTCCGTATCCAAGACCTTGGAGAGGGGGGCAGGTTGGTCGCTCCTTTTAATGTATGCTGGTGTGGCCGCTCGCTGGATCGCCTCTCCCTCCCCGATGGTCACACCGATCCATTGCAAACACAGGAGGGCAACGTAACGGCTGGCGAAGCTGCCTTTCTCTCTGCCTCCCTTAGCCCCCCCACCTTTTCCCCTCCCCAAGCCTAGCGGCCGGTTGTTTGAAACGCAGCTGTGTAACACACCCCTCCTCCCCTTAGGAAGGCCGCCTCGCCACAAGTGGCACAGATTTGAGGAGGAAAGCCGGGGGGGCACCGAGGGTGTCGAGAACACGGCGGGGGGGGGGAGAGAAAGAGGAGGGGCTCACAAAGGACTAGAGCAGCTCCCAAATTTGGCCGGGAGTTTGCCCTCCCCCTTATTTCCCTTGCTATTGGGGTTTTTCAGACCCAAGACGTGGTGGCCCCGGTCCATCACGCGCAAATACATGGCATGAGGACCCGAGCGCATTATATCAAATTGCGACTCTTCAGCACTGCGCTCCCGGGCTAAGAGAAGCTCAACAAGTATACGACCAAAATAATAATAATAGTAATAATAATAATAATACAGTAATAACAACGGGCTAAGAGAAGCTCAACAAGTATACGACCAAAATAATAATAAGAAGAAGAAGAAGAAGAAGAAGTCATTTAGGACAGTGCTGCAAGTAATTGGTAGGTGGGCAAAACTCAGTGTTACTCTGCGTAGACCCATTAAAATTAATAGACCCAAGTGACTCGTGTTCATTATTTTCAGTAGATCTACTCTGAGGATCTAGCAAACTGGCATTGGCTACAACCCATAATCCAACATTTTGAAGAAATCAAAAACTCATTTCCCATGTGTTTTTACTAACAAGCAACATTAAAATACTGAGACCCCCCCCCAGGTAGCAACTGGTTTAAGCTGCTGCCGTATACAGAGTCAGGCCCTTAGTGCACACAGCTCAGTATTGTCTACTGCAATGACTGGCAGTGGTTTCCCAGGGTTTCGGGGAAGGGACATTAACAGCCCGACCTGGAGAGGCTGGGGATTGAACCTGGGACCTTTTGCAAGCAAAGCAGATGCTCCACCTCTGAGAGATGGCCCTCCCAATAAGATGTCCAGTCCACCCAACCCTCCTAGTGGGCCAGTGCACACTTGTTGGCTTAGAAGACCAAGGCAGTAACATTAAATGCAGTAGTAATGAGGTCCCTGTTGATTCAGGGGGAGGACAAATCTGTGCCCAGTGTGTTGCGGGACATCTTCAGGAGAAGAAAAGGCTAAGGAGTAAACCCTACACAAATCTGGAATGGAGTCCCTAAGACAGTTGGATGGTGCCTTGTCCTCCTGCTTCTGGCAACTCCTGGTCCTAAATGACTTTCTCTGCTTTCCTTTGGACCACGTCAGCAAGGCCAAGAGAGGTATCTTGTTATCTGGGCAGCCCAGGACCTCCATACACACCGCCCAGGCTTGCACCCCGGAGAGGTCACTTTGGTGCTGCAAATGCAGAAGACGATACCAGTTGGAGCCTCTAGACCAGGCACTCAAGGGTAGCCCCATTGCACTGCAATAATGGAGTCTTGAGGCTATCAGTGCTCAGCCTGGATAGTTCAGTTGGTTAGAGCATGGTGCTGATGACGCCAAGGTTGCAGGTTCGATCCCCGTAGGGGACAGGTGCATAATCCTGCATTGCAGCCGATTGAACTTAGATGATCTGCTGGGTTCCTTCCTGATTCTATGAATCACCGTGGCCTCAACTATCCTTGCCCAAGAATGGCCATAATTGATACACCAGTTGTGGTAGGTAAAAGGCAATCCTAGCCACTGGGCCTCTAGTGACAAAAATTCAGGAGAACACCCAGACTCAGGAACCTCCAACGCCTCAGTCTTCCCAGGGTTCAGGATCAGTTTACTGGGCCCCATCCAGTCTGCCATTGTGCCCAGACCATGGTCCAGTTCAGTGTTTCCCAAACTTGGGTCTCCAGCTGCTTTTGAACTACGGTTCCCATCATCCCTGACCACTGGTTCTGCTAGCTGGGGTGACAGGAATTGTAGTCCAAAAAATCTGGACACCCAAGTTTGTTAAAGACTGGTCCAGATGGTGCACAGCCTCTCCTGACTGAGATGTTCTGGAGAAGCAGAGCTGTGGGTCACCAGAACAGTGATGACACTTCCCCCAAACTCCAGTATGCCTCCTATACAGACAGGTGCTTTCCCCCTTCTCCAAAACAACCAGTCCACAGAACATAATGAGCATGACAAAACCAGAGAAGATGAGCATTGCCAGCTCAGGCTGATGGAAATCGTAGTCCAAACATCTGGAGGGCTTCAGGTCCAACACACCCACCTTTCAGATCACGTGTGATAGGTGTGATTTTAAGGCCATAGGAAGCTGTCTTATACCAAGCTAAAAAGATCAACCGTCTGGTCCTTTATAAGGCAATCTCATGCAAACTAGGATTGATGAGTCAGGCCTAGTCAGTCTCGCCTTCCTCCCATTCATCACAAGGTACCCAGCCATTCTAGACGGGCAGAGCCCTACTTGTGTCACCTGGGCTGGTATTTTTAGCATCCATTAGCACACTTTGCAAGGTAGCATCCATAAACAGAGCACCATCTCATCTGCCCCAAAAAACAAACAAACAAAAAAACTCAGTTACTATCCTTTATTAACACATATTAAACCTCAGGTTCCTCTCAAGTGCTTTGCAATCTGAACTGTTTGTGGGGAGGGGATTGCCCCACCAAGTTCAGTCTACCCTCAGCCAGCACCCCACCTAGCTAAATACGTCATTGGGGGTGAGGCCAAGCTTTTGGAAGGTTGCAGCACCCGCTGTGGTTGCAGAGACTGATACGGGAGAGACATGTTTTGTTGCAGCTGGGGCAGATGAAGGCATCCAGTTGTGCTGCTGCAGATGCACCAGGGCGTTTCCCCTCTCTGCGTTCCTCCCAGCAGTCATTTCTCCTCTGCTCACAACCTGACTGCCTATCTCCAGGCACTGTGGTTGTCTGCAAGGGATTCCCAGATGGCAGAGTTGGTGTTGCTAGCTGCCACATCATGTGCCAGCTGCAGACATCTTTGTAACACGGTTGGTCTGCCAACTGGCCTGGTGCTGAAACCCAGCTCCCCATAGACCACGTCCTTGGGGATCCTGCCATCTTCCATACTGTGGACATGACGAAGCCAGCATAGACAAAGCTGAGACACTAAAACCAGTCGAGGGAGTGGCACTGGTTGTCAGCTTCCTCCTCCTCCTCCTCCTCTGGGTTTATTTTTCTTTTTTTTTTCCTGGAGTGTGTCCTTCAATTACATTCATGCTTCTTGCTTGTCTGGAGAGAGATGTAAATAATAATAATAATAATAATAATAATAATAATAATAATAATAATATTTATACCCCGCCCTCCCCAGCCAGAGCTGGGCTCAGGGCGGCTTACGCCAGTAAAGTTATAGTAAAATCATAATAGGGGGGGAAATCAATTTAAAATACATGTTAAAATGCAATTTAAAATGCAGCCTCATTTTAAAAATACAGTGGTACCTCGGGTTAAGAACTTAATTTGTTCCGGAGGTCCGTTCTTAACCTGAAACTGTTCTTAACCTGAAGCACCTGAGCTAATGGGGCATCCTGCGCCACGGTTTCTGTTCTCATCCTGAAGCAAAGTTCTTAACCCGAGGTACTATTTCTGGGTTAGCGGAGTCTGTAACCTGAAGCGTCTGTAACCTGAAGCGTCTGTAACCCGAGGTACCACTGTAGTCCATAGATCAAAATCATAAGGGGAGGGAAAACATAAGGGTCAGACTGAGTCCAAACCAAAGGCCAGGCAGAACAGCTCTGTCTTGCAAGCCCTGCGGAAAGATGTCAAGTCCCACAGGGCCCTAGTCTCTTGTGACAGAGTGTTCCACCAAGTTGGGGCCAGTACTGAAAAGGCCCTGGCCCTAGTTGCGACCAATCTAACCCCCTTGCAACCTGGGACCTCCAAAATGTTGTCATTTGTGGACCTTAATGTCCTCCGTGGGGCATACCAGGAGAGGCAGTCCCGTAGGTACGTGGGTCCTAGGCCGGATAGGGCTTTAAAGGTCAAAACCAGAACCTTAAACCTGACCCTGTACACCACCGGGAGCTAGTGCAGTTGCTAAAGCACTGTATGTATATGTAGCTGGGCCGTAGCCTACTGTACAAGGGCAACAATCACATCCAGTGCCCCACCTGGTCCAACAGGGCAAATTGGGGCACTGTTCTGCCAAACTCACGGACGCGGGTGGCGCTGTGGGTAAAACCTCAGCGCTTAGGACTTGCCGATCGTCAGGTCGGCGGTTCGAATCCCTGCGGCGGGGTGCGCTCCCGTCGTTCGGTCCCAGCGCCTGCCAACCTAGCAGTTTGAAAGCACCTCCGGGTGCAAGTAGATAAATAGGGACCGCTTACCAGCGGGAAGGTAAACGGCGTTCCGTGTGCTGCGCTGGCTCGCCAGATGCAGCTTCGTCACGCTCGCCACGTGACCCGGAAGTGTCTGCGGACAGCGCTGGCTCCCGGCCTCTAGAGTGAGATGAGCGCACAACCCTAGAGTCTGGCAAGACTGGCCTGTACGGGCAGGGGTACCTTTACCTTTACCTTCCGCCAAACTCAGCGTGCCCTCAGCCAGACCTCACCTGCCTACCTGCTGCAAACCAGTCAAGGAGGTGGCAGTGCCAACTTCTCCTCAGTAGCAGTGTTGCCTTTGGAGAACTCGGCAGGGAGAGTGGAGGCAAAATTCATTGGCTCCAACTCTACCCGCAGTTGGCTCTGACTCCACCTGCTGTTGGCCTCCCTGCATTCCAGCCCACCTGTCCCAATGGGCCACACTCACCATTGGTTTGTGCCCATTAGGGAAAGTGGGCTGAAATCCCCACCCCCACCCTGTACTAGGGATTAAGCACTGTGAAACAGTGGTTCATATGCCCAGGATTGCACTGCTAGACAAATAAATTGGACCAAAAAATAAATAAATCCAAGTGCCTGTTACTGTATTTATATCATCTGCAGGATCAACACAACTTTAATGATGGGGGGAAATGGAGCTGAAGTCTGGAACCGAAATAAAGAGCTATTACTCATCTTTAGGATATGACTGTCAAATGCCCAAAAGGTACTTCCTTTGTTTTTCTTTTTAAAGAACAGTTATTCCTATGAATTATGGTTA